CACTAGTTTTATAGAAAATTAAGTTTTTTTATGTTTTTACATGAAATGCATAAAGTTTGATTCAATAAAACAAGAAAATTTTGTATTTTTGAGTTTTTAGTTAAAATTTACACGTTTTACGAATCATTTAATTAAAAACTCAGTTTTTATTGTATTTTTGAACAAGTTATGCCACTTTTTAATCACTAAAATTCAAAATACCTCATTGCTAGGTTATGTTACACCGTGGAACAAAAAATAACCCAATATTGAGATTTTACACGGATTGGCACCTGTTTAATCTTTTATTGCGCTGGTTATAAACTCAATTACTCTTGCAAAAATGCCGGTAAATATTTCCTGAAGTTTAAATATGAATTCCACATCGCTCAGTTGTATTCACTTGTGTTATGTTTAAATGATTTTCTAGTAACGCAACGTGCACCCCAACAAATTAGCTGAAAAATCGTGCTTAAGTTATAGAAATTTGCATTGCAATTTTTCTTGACAAATTATCGTTTTTAATTTTGCTGTAATTGACGGTGATTGCTGGGTGGAAAACGTGCTCGTTGGGAAATTAAAATGACGATGACTTTTTCTTTCATGTTTATGATTATTTTGATATTATCATGTTGTTTTTGCACTAGTTTTACAGAAAATTAAGTTTTTTATGTTTTTACATGAAATGCATAAAATTTAATTCAATAAAACAAGAAAATTTAGTATTTTTTGAGTTTTTAGCTAAAATTCACACGTTTTACGAATCATTTCATCAAAACTTTGTTTTTAATGTATTTTTGAACAAATTGTGCCACTTTTTAATCACTAAAATTCAAAATACCTCATTGCTAGGTTATGTTACACCGTGGAACAAAAAATAACCAAATATTGAGATTTTACACGGATTGGCACCTGTTTAATCTTTTATTGCGCTGGTTATAAACTCAATTACTCTTGCAAAAATGCCGGTAAATATTTCCTGAAGTTTAAATATGAATTCCACATCGCTCAGTTGTATTCACTTGTGTTATGTTTAAATGATTTTCTAGTAACGCAACGTGCACCCCAACAAATTAGCTGAAAAATCGTGCTTAAGTTATAGAAATTTGCATTGCAATTTGTAGGGATGTTGGGATCATAATTACAACAATATTTCAAATGTTACCATCGATGTCATGTCTTTAAAAAAATATTCTAACTCATAATTGCTAGAAATGAAAATATTTTTCATCGTTACACAGAAGAAATTAATATAAACCAACAAAGTTCTACAAATTTCGCCGTTATACGCAGTTCGTTGAGTGAATATTGAACATGCGTACAGAATACGAATATGACTAATAAAAAACAAGCGAAAGTTTACATATTGCATGGCAAACCCCATTATACTCCACATCCACTTACATTAACCTGCCTGCAAGTTTCTGCCTCTACTTAAACTTATATTCTGCGTGTGTTTGTTTCAAAGTTGGCATATATTATTGTTGCTTGATTGCATACATATACTACCATACGCTGGTTAATAATAATTTGTGTTTTATTTCTACGCCGCGTTTGTCAACTGTGTTTCTCTTCACTACACTACACCATGCACACGTTGGTAAATTGCAATATGTACTCATATTTGCGATGGCGAGCACCATGCTCAATTTGCATGCATGTAATGTCATTGCGTAGTTGTAGATTGATATACAAGTCCAGACAGAATCACCATTATGTTTTATTGTAATGTTTATGAACTCGTCATCATCACCAGAATGAAAATACGAATGGAATACATTTCTACTTTCAATTGTAATTGCAGAATAAATACGAATAGTAATAAATAAATAAATTTGTTGTAATTAAAAATGGCGTTGGATGGTGAGCATAGCATGGCTAATTTTGTTGTTGCGATGGATTAATACGTAGTAAATAAGTTCAAGGCTAAAGTGCTACGTCCAACGTCAGAATACGATTTTAATCTACGAGCGCCGCGAATACTAGATAAATTCACTTTGTGGTGGGAGAGCGAAAAAATACACCACGTCGAATACGTATTGAAAGCGGATAGGTGTGCGACGACGACTCGCTGGGTAATTCGCGAATTATACACCTGGAGTGTTCACCTGATGCGTAGGAAATTGCGTCGCGAGTTTTACTCATTTTATTCATCATCATCATTACGGTTTGTGCGCGCGCGCAACATATTCAAATCTTATTGTGACTCTGGATGTGAAATTACGTAATTTTCTTGTGGATTATTTTTAGTAATAATAAATGTAAGTGATTTTTGGTTAACTTGGTTTTGTTTGGTGTTGTGTTTAATTTTAAACATGAATGCGATTATTTTTGTTGCTTCTTATTGTTGTTAATTACATGCATAAATATCATGTATGCGAGCGACCTATTGACGCATCGGTGATAATTTTATTAATGTGCGCATACAAACATATGAATAGCGTTTACATGCGTCGACACTTTTAGCGTGTTTGCCCACCAATCAATAATTGTTATTACTTTTGTCGTGTTTTGTTGCTGCTTTCAACCTACCTTTAGATACGCGTACAACTGAACCACCTACACTCGTCTCGAATAAATATATTTGTTGTTTTGTTTCACAATGAGTCACTCACTATTCACACTATTCAATCAAAATTGTTGCTGATTTTATGTGCAGAGTCACAATAAAGTGAAATTTATCTGTTGTATGCGTTTTGTTTTTATTTTAGTTTTGTTATTAAATTGAAATTTTTTTATAAAGCACGATGTGAGTTGACTGGTTGTGTAATGTGATTTTTACATAAGACTTGTTCCTTTTTCGCGCAGGCATTACATGCGCAGATATCAAACTCGACATTTGTGGCAGACATTAAATTACTTTCAGGAAGTGGGCAATTTCTTGCGCGGATATCTAAAAGTCGGCGTTTTGTTATTTCGGCCGAATTACGTATTTACGTTAATGGGAATTATATCTATTATATCTAGTCGAATATTAATGTAGCTTAACTTTTGTTTTCTTGGTATTTATGATTCATTTTTAAATTGTTAAACCATGACATGGATATTTAAATTATGTTGGTAATGTTTTAATTTGGTTAATAGGCATATTATTCCGGTGAAAAACCGAAAATATTGCGACTTTGTTTTTTTTTACAGCAGAAATTTTATCAAAAAGTATTTTACTTCCATGTTGGTAATGTTTTAATTTGGTTAATAGGCATATTATTCCGGTGAAAAACCGAAAATATTGCGACTTTGTTTTTTTACAACAGAAATTTTATCAAAAAGTATTTTACTAGAAGAAAAATGTTTTAGATAACAATAATATAGCAACAACGACAAACTTTAAGGGATTTGGTTGGTTTATATTAATTTCCTCGTTGTGGCTTTATAGTTTTTTTGTGTAACGATAAAAAATATTTTCATTTCTAGCAATTATGAGCTAGAATATTTTTTCAAAGATATGACATCGATGGTAACTTTTGAAATATTGTTGTAATTATGATCCCAACATCCCTACAAATTGCAATGCAAATTTCTATAACTTAAGCACGATTTTTCAGCTAATTTGTTGGGGTGCACGTTGCGTTACTAGAAAATCATTTAAACATAACACAAGTGAATACAACTGAGCAACGCGGAATTCATATTTAGACTTTAGGAAATATTTACCGGCATTTTTACTAGAGTAATTGAGTTTATAAGCAGTCCAAAAAATGATGAAACAGGTGCCAGACCACGTAAAATCTCAATATTTGATTATATTCTGATTTTAGGGGTTAAAAAGTTGCATAACTTGTTCAAAAATGCATACAAACTAAGTTTTTTGATAAAGAATTCGTAAAATGTGTGAATTTTAACTAGAAACTAAAAACAAATCTAAAATTTTGATATTTTTTTCCTATCTCGATGTAACAATACCTCAAGATAACATAATAAAAAATACCTGATCATATGTTCGTCGTTATAAGGAGATTTCACTGGTTTTTATTACATAAATTCTAGTTTTGCACTTGGCACTTGTCATAATCTAATTTTACCAAACGATAATAGAATAAAACTTGAAATTCCGCAATAATACCCACTTCGCCATTTGATATTTCGCCTCTCTTATCAATGAAATTACGCCGTCCCCGAGCGATAACTATGTGCATGCACAAGTGTTGACAGGAAACAGGGTTACGAGCATCGCATCCGGATGACATTTTCGCCAAAAACGTTTCGCTTGCAGACACATTTCAATGTCTCAGCTCGTTTCTTATCGCGTGCGCATTCGTTGCCAGGAGAAGGCGAACAGCCAGCGACACAGAAAGAGAAGCTGACGCGTCACAATCTTGTGTGTCAGCTATTACTACCACACAAATCCACTACCAAGTCATGCTATTAATTTATTATTTATTATTTCAAATGTGGCATTACATATGCGCAGCTTAAGATAACTCGCGTTAAACATGTTTTGACAAGCGATCAACACGTTAAACACGTTACCCAAAACGCAAGAATATGAAATAGAAATACGTTTAGATATTTACTATAAATTTACGCGGTTTATCGAATAGAAATGGTTATCTCTGAGCGTGGTACAATCCACGTTCGTAACAGCGAGTGTTATGAGTGTAGCTGACACGTGACGTGTGATAATTTAGATAAAACTGAAACGAATCTAATGATTGTACGCAAATGCGCGCTCCGATTTACCATTGCTATTGCCATTGATAGACTAGCCGAACGCGTAACGAATAGTAAGTTATAATCGTGCGCCGCGGCCGCCATCTTGTCACTTGGCGAGAGCGAGCTCGCGTCAACAACTTGCGGGCGCAGAAAAAGTGCAAGCGCTGATAAAATAATCTCGTAACGCGATTAAATGCAGTCGCGTCTGGGCGGTTTTCCTCAGTCGCGCTGCGTATTTTACTTGGGAGGTTCATTCAACCAACGGACATTGAATTAGGAATTCGTAAATCGGTTTAACTTGTAATTGTAATTTTAGTGTTAATGTAATATTGTGATTTGTATTAATATTTTTTATTTTTTATTTGCAGTTGAATCTGGATTTATTGTGTAGTGGTGTTTCCATTGGGTTTTTTCTTTACATCAACTTCTCAACTCAAAAAAGAAGAGATTTTCAAGGATTATCTCTTGATGTGATTGGATAGTGCATCGATAGTGCGAGTTTTTGTTTGTTTGTATAATTGATTCGTTGATTCACCATCATGAAGGAAGAAGTGGTGGCCGCCGTCAAGTTCCTAGTGCGCTTTATCGAGAAGAGCGAGAAATTTCCGCGCGACCAACTGGAAAACTTTAAGCATCATCTGATTGTACTTCTCATGCAAAGGTAAGTCTTCTGTTTATAATTTAAATTAAAAATATTTTTGGGTCCACATGTGTTGTAAATATGCCAACGTCGCGTGGATTTCACTGGACTTATGTTGAATGTCCAAAGTTGAAAGAGTTTTATTTGGGCGCGATACGAAAATGCGTAAACAGTGTATATTTTTAGTTGCCGCGTACGATGTTTGGGGGGCGGTCGTTATGGGCCGAAAATTTTCATTTCTTGTTTTTATTTCGGGTTAAAAATAACCTGCGTGCGTTGCATTGCACTTTGTTGATTCAAATCGTCAGCGGTGGCGACAGCGTCTAAACAAAAATCGAAATAGGCCTTGAGGGCGACACCGTTTTATGCAAGGCGAGCATAAACAAAGGACGATGCAAAGTGTCATCAAAATTTACTCAGGTTATTTTTAGTTGTATTAAAATACAACGTAATTAACTTAAATTTTGTTAAAAAATGTTTTGATATTAGTCACTTAATTCTTTGTTTTGAGCATAAAAAAATAAATTACGTGTTGAGTTTATGTACGTGGACGTTAATCACAATGCGGTTTTCTTATCAGCACCAGCAACAGTGTTTTAATGTGCCTCTTAGCTCATTACCAAACAATTTATAGCTCGCGCAAATTATTAATCACAATCTGGCCGGTATCAGCGTGTAGGTTTAATGAGTTTAATGCTTTTAAAATTGCAATAAACGGCTATAATTTAATATTTACCAATCGCACTTTGAAAAAAAAAACGATTTTAATTGCATCTAATGTCAACTAAATTGTGATTGTGATTGTTATTGGCAATATGAATTTCGTTGTTGTTGCGCGTTTCTTTTTCGAATTACTGCAATTATGGTTATGTTACATTTCGTTTTCGCATTCGCATTACATAAATGCATTAGCCACCAAACACAATGGCGGCGGACGAGCGCTCACGATTGCGTGTCTTGCCATTATATTTTTTTGCTTATTTTTCTTTGTACAACTTTTTTTTTTGCACGCAAAGTCGATGAGTCATATTTATTGCACAAATACTAAATGTAAATGCAATCGGAATAATTGTGCTGTGGCGTGTATCTCCTCCAAGTTCGAACAAAAATGGTCATTTTGTAATTCTGGTAGCGTCAGCCAAGGCGACAAGATGGCCGCCCAGCGAGACGGTCGCGCTGTGTCTGTTGTTTTTTTACACATTTATAAATATAATGCTAAATTAACAACTAAATACAAAACTCACGGCGCGCGAGCAGTGTAATTGCATTAAAAGGAAATTTAAAATGCGACCTTGCCGGCCAATCGTCATGGCTGTACGCGTCGAAACAGTTAGCCGCGCGCGATAAATTTTAATCACAAGCAGCCGCAGTAATCGAATTGATTTGCAAATTAAATTTCATTCTTTTGCAAGCGCTGGTGTAATTAACTTGCGCAAACAACGTTTTCGAGCATTTACTCACACCACCTACAAGGTTGGCCAATTTTTTTGCGTTCGCCAGTGACAAGTGATTAATATGCGACGTTTACTTTCGAAATGTGTCACTGCGCATGCGCACGTTGATTATTCATAAGTGTATTTATTGTGTATATGTTTATTAAAGTTTGTTTCCTTGTTTGTTTGCGATTGAATAGATTTGAGAAGCATTGGTTCCCTGAGGTTCCGGCGAAAGGCCAGGGCTACCGCTGCATCCGCGTCAACGGACTCATGCCCGTCGACTACACGTTGGAGCAGGCGGCCAGCAAGTGCGGCCTCCATTACAGCGACCTCCGGTTGCCCGCTGAACTCACCGTCTGGGTGGATCCAACCGAAGTTTGCTATCGGTAAGAATAAATATTTCTAGAACGTTTTTTTCTTTGCTTCCGCAGGCGTCCGTATTGCGTGTTGTCGTGCGTGTATATTGAAATGAATAAAATTGAGTTGTGGCGCTTAGTTTGGTTGCCATGGCGACGATGGTTTGCGTCTGAGACGCTCGTGGGCGCTCAACGGCTTTCGTTCGTTTCACTCGACGTCGTCCGCGATCCGCTGACCTTTCGTCGATTGCGAATTTACGTTATCGTGTTGGATATTGCGCTGTGGTAAAATGAATAATTTTTTCAACTTTTTCTTTTTTCATGGTTTTGAGACACAAAAAGTGTAATCACGGTCGTGACTAAAGTACTTTAGTCACGGACTTTAGTCACGGGTGGAGTTAAAAAATAAAAATTTCAAATAAAGTTAAACGTGGAAGTAAAACGTTAAACGTGGATAAAATGTCGCTTAGCGCACTTGATAATTTTTAAAATGGCTGCTTTGCTAATTTCCGGTTGTTATTTGCAATTTGCAGGTTAGGCGAGTCGGAAGGCTCGTACTGTACATTAGCAACTTTCCCGTCGGAATCCTCATCGTCCGAATCGTCGAGTCCGTCGCCGTCGCCACCGACGACGCCCTTGCAGGACAAGGCGCGTCGAAGCAAACCGCTGCGACCGCCGACCGTCGACCCGAAGCACCAGCGCTACAGTAATAACGTACCCGCCACACTTAGAATTAAACCTATCCCTAGAGAGGTAAAATATGTTGCGTTAGAGAGATTCATTCATTGTGTGCTAATTCTGTATCTTTTGCAGTTGAATTTCACCATGCCACAGAACAGATCGCAGTACCGCTACGATGGCCCCACGTACCCGGTGCCGACGATGTACCGAAGCATGCCGTTCTCGTCAACCGCGAGACATTACAAGAATGTCGTGAGGGTGTAGGGGATATCGTCAGCCGCGAAAAACTGAAAGACGACACAAGAAACATTCGCTATATTTAATTGGTATACGGTAACATGTTACAAGCAACAACAACGAGTCAATAACAAGCAACAACACAACTCGACGACGACGACAACGTAAATAGGGATTACTGATGGTCATGGAATGGAAATGATATTGTGTGTGCACTTTGCTGACTGCGAACCGCGAACGAGCATATTGTACTGTTTTCTTCTTTTGTTCTCACACACACACCAAAACACAAATATTTCAATTTTTCAACCAAAAGACTTGAGAATCAAAACCAGATTCCTCCGAAACAATTTACTAAAACTTAAACAAAAAAAAAAAACAAATGCAACAAAATCGTGCAAATTTTTGGGTGCCTTTTTCACAATTATAATGAAACGTTATAGACGAGTACCTACGACGAAATTTGTATAAGAAAACTTTATGGAAGAAATTTATGAAACACAAAACAAAATATAGTCAATGTAGTTTGTAAGTGGGACGACGTGCGGCGTGATAACAGTAATCGGAGTGCATACATGCACAGCCCAAGCTGCGCGAGAAATTTTACGCGTGCGTTTTTTATTTTATTTTTTTCGTTGTAGTGTAATTTACGTTTTGAAGCTGTGATAACATTTCATTTCGATCATGACAAAAACAACCAAGATGGCCGACGTATATTCCAGCGCCTGCTAGTTACGCACAATCCAATTAATTCATATTCAACGCCATAGTTTACGAAATGTCCTACTGCGTTTAATAATGTAAATGTAAATTGATGTGTGTGGTGTATTTAATTCGTAATTTGTAATTTTATTTCGCATTCAAGTTCCTTTTGGCGTTTTTTGTTAGATTTTGATTGTGCGCAACGTGCACGAGTCTTAAAAAACATAAAAAACGAGTTTATTTCGTGTTTAAACTAAATAAAATAACATGCAATTAAATATAGTTATTTAATGTTTACGGCGTCAGAGTCTTCGGATGATGATGATGATGATGCGCGTCTTGTGGTCCAAACAAATGTTTTTTGACGAATCCTATCGATACACAATGATACAACCTATACGCTATGTTCTCGTAAGTTATATTTGAATAAGATTTTTGTACGTTTTTCGGCATTGTTGCCCCCCAAACACATATATAATTAATATTATGATTGTAAATTTAACGGATAAGGTCAATTAATTTCTCTTTTCAATTAATTTTAATCACTTTTTTGTTGCGTAGAGAGATATGGATGTGCATAACGGTAGTAGACGAATTCAATTCATAATTTCAGCGATTTGTAGCGATGATGGATGTTGATATGCATCACTTAAATATAACACAACACACACTACACACTTCACACACACACGCGACACATGATTAATTAATTATTGACTGATTCTGTGTACAAATACGTAAACGTTGTCTTTTTTTTTGTTTGTTTTAATGATAGAGAAGATAGAGTGTACGGCGCCGCCTTATCGATAACAATAATCTCACCGATTAGTTTCGCTTACTCGATTCGATGCAACGCTTTGTGTTGGTATTGCTTTTTGATTTGTGATTTGTGAACTTAAGATACTTAACACAAATTCGGTTTGTGCAAAATTTGATTTCGAACAATATTTATATATGAATGTGTACACGAAAACCACCCCTCACACACTGTAATATATGTAAGAGTTTGCCGTTGAATGTAAAGTCTGATTCTACAATATTTGTAATAGAAATTTAAACAAAAGAAAACACAAAAGAGATTCGAAAGATGCAAAAGATTCAAATAGTGGTGGTGATGCTGTGATGTTTATAATGTAGCGTAAAACAAATTTAAACACAAGAATTGTACATGGATGATGAGAGCGTTTTTTAGCTGTTTGAAGGTTTATAACGATTTAATGAGACACATAGCTGCAGACTCAGATATATTATACTTATTGTAAACAAACAAAATGGATAATTGGGGTAAATGTGTAGTAGTGATATATATATAATATGTAATTAATTGTACTGAAAGATATAACGGATCCATCCCCAGATTGTAATTGTAACCGCAAGGCCAAACACAGTGGCGCGCGCTCAGCGTGTATTTTTATATGAATATTGTTTTAGATTTAATTTGCTTTTTCGAATCCCGAAGGCGAAGGAGTGGTAGTGGTGTTCGAGCAGAGAGCGATTTTAATATTTTTATAATTTATTATATTCGTCTGGATGGTTGTTGCGCCCGCTAAAACACAAATCGAAATCAAAATTTTTCTCTCGACGTTAGACGCCATCTTTTTTTGTGTAGAGTTACACCGAACAGGGTTTAGCAAGCAATTATGTACACTTGTAATAAGTCAGTTTCTTTTTTCGCTATCGTTTGTTGGTTTTATTTTTATAATTTACTAGTTTTTTTTTGTCTATTGCTTATCATTTTGGCTAGAATTATGTACGCGAAGAAAACGAAAAGACTAACCGTAGATTGTGTGTGTTGTTGGTGGTTTGTCAATATCTACGAAAGAGTAACAAAAACACTATATTTGCGCCTGCAAGTGCAATTATTTCATTCATGTTTATATATAATCATTGTGATATTTTCTCTGTAAATACAGCTCGAAATTTTTAGACAAATATTTCTGATTGAAGAAAGGTAAAGTAACGAAACAAAAAACGTGTGATTATGATTGAAGGAAATTAATATGAGACATATTAAAAAAAAGATGATTAATTGTACATAATTCTTAATCAACTCTGTACAACTTTACTGTAGAGATATATTATTACTATGTATGTAGGATGTTTTCAATTTAATTAATTCATTAATGTAATATAAACAAATATTATGCAAATGGAAAATGAAATATCTGAGTTTTATTCACTTTTCATCCTTAAAAACTCCCATTCCTGATATGCTGACACCATGTCATAAAAGGAAAGTCATAAAATTTGTTTTAAAACGTTTTTAAACATTGCGAAGTTGAATTTTATGTTGGTACTACATAGTTATATTGTCTAGGGAGATTTTAAGTGCGCATGCGCATTGAAAATGAAATGACTTGGTTTGGTTCTTTCTTCACACTAAATCTGTTCAATTTATATACTGCTAAGAATGCTCATGAAGTAATATAGTTTGCAATTACATGTTTAATCGAATTTACTATCAACCAATATCAAAATACAATTTATTTAATAAATAAATAAAATAAAAATGACATTTTGAAACATTAAGAAATCAAATTTTATGTTGGTACTACTTAGTTACATATCTAGTGATATTCCAAACGCGCATGCGTGTACCTTGTGCATTTGTGATTATGGCGGTTGTCGAGAAACATTGACATTGGAGTTTCGCGTTGCGTTGAGGCGTTGTTACATCGTGTACATAACATTACGAAAGCATTTCGTTTCAAATCTCAACGATTTCCTCGCACCACGCGTTTTCAAACTGTGATATATGTATCAAATCAGTGTCCACCAGTGCAGTGTGAACATATCCAGTGCTTGTCTCAGCAGACAATCGAATTCTGCAGCACTTCTCAAGTGTGCAGAACACCCAACCTCATCAAGTAGTATCTTATTCGGCGATTCGACGACCAGGTTTGTTGGCGTAACAATGTCTCGTAGCTAATGTACGTTTCGAATAGGCGACGAAGCGCGTGCGTAGCTAGCTAGCGAAAAGTTGATCAGGACATCGGCACGATGTCGTACCCAGGACGCCCACCGCTGGTGCAGGGCATGCCGCCGATGTATATGCCCATGAGTGGTCCACCACCACCGTTAATGCCTGCCGTTATGCCCATTCAACACGTAAGATAATTATTTTTTATTGTAATTTTTGTATCATGGGGTTTCATGTTTCTAGATGATGCCTATACAGGTTTCGTCTGGGCCGCAGATTCGCGCATTTCCGAAGATAAATCCGATTCGTGAACAAATGCGGCAGTTACAACTACAAGGACCGCCAGTTACCGTCTTTGTTGGTAAGGAAATTACCTTTTTAAGTATTTTTAAGTTATACCTAAACATTTTTATTATTTTTTAATAGGAAACATAACAGAACGTGCTCCTGATACGATGATTCGTCAAATATTATCGGCTGTTGGCCCTGTAGTGAGCTGGAAACGCGTGAAAGGTTTCGGTTTCTGTGAGTTAGCTGGTCCTGATGCTGGGTTGAGAGCTGTAAGAATTTTGCATGATTTAATGGTCGGTGAAAAGCGGCTGGTTGCTAAAGTCGACGCGAAAACTAAAGCCATATTAGATGAATACAAAGGTATAACACATCTTATTCATTATTTATTGTAATTCTAATTTTTTGTGTTTTCTAAAGCTGAGAAGCGAAAAAAAGAGAAAGGTTCCTCATCACCGCTTCAGGACGAAGTGGAAGAAGAAGAACCCCTCGATGAAGAGTCCCAAGCGTTGGATGCACAAGCCATCGAACGTATCAAACAATTACTCGTTGAATACGAGGAAGAAATGAGTAATTTTGAGTTGAAAAAAGAAGGTAAAACCTTAATTTCATCAATTTTTTTATATTTTTATTAATAAAATGTTTAATATTGATATTTAGAAGAGCAACAAGAGAAGCGTAACAAAATCCTGGACGAGGCCGATGTGGAAGAGGAGAAACGTGATCTAATCACTCGCGAGATTGGCAAATTTCGCGAAATAATGAAGGTGAGTCTCGAAATACTAGTTAGAAACTTGAGCGAGGGAGAGCAGGATTTTTGATTTTTCAATAGGCGTAAACTGATCACTTTGTTTGCTGTTATTTTATTTGATTCTCTTAAATTCAAGTTTAGGCTGTGAAAATTAAAACAAAAAAAGATTGAGGGGGGTTTTTGTTGTGTGGCAGGGCAGTTAGGCGAAGTGTTGTCTAAAAAATGTGTTAGGAAGTTAGTAGGCTAATTAAGGTTGCGCTCATATGGTACTTGAAACCAAACAGGCTAATGGAAGCTGCGCAGTTCCACCAATGCTCGGCCCGGGGCGCCGTCGGTGAGTCTTTACATATTGTGAAATAAACCCGACAAATAGGCAATCGCATTCGCGCTGGCTGCGCACACTGTGTTATAGTAACAGTTTACAACATGTTTACAAACGTCGGTTTTGTTTTGTTTTACGTAACGCCGTGCCAATGCGATTGCTTTCTTGCCAAGTTTCTTATTTTGTCGCGTGGAGCAAGCTTCCCGCACATAGATTTCATTGTTTTTATGATGAATGTTTGATTAAATTTTGCTTTGGTGCTGATTTGCTCGAAGCTTGGCTCCGCGCTGACGTTTTGCAATTATGGTTGATTCGTAGAAACACGCATCACGCATTCTGTTGATTTTATTAGTAAGTTGTGTTGCGGCGGCGGACTGTGTTCGTAAGTTACAGTCCGTGCTTGCCGAAGTTATCTATCTGCGATTTTCGGGGAGGCTACAAAGCCGGCAAGATACCCTCGGCCGACGGCAGGGAGAGTCGTTCTGCTCTGATCTAGATCATAGTCTCATTCGTTTCCGAGAGTAAGTTTTGCATTTCGTCTAAGTTACTACTTTATATAATCTATAAATAAATATAAACCCCATATAATTACACTTGTTGTGTCGCATCACATGCGGTTTTTATTTGTTCTTGTGTTTTTTGTTGTTGTTTTTATTGTCTGTTCTCTCTAGGAATGACGGCAAGCACACATGTTTGCATGCGACAAGTGCATTTCTTTTCGCAGAACAAAAAAAAACAGTTTACTAATTTGTTTCGACATGTCGTTGCCTAAAAATGTTTAAAATGAAATATAAAAACAAAAGCAATTAACTTAGTTATCGACGAAAATAGGATTCAACGTTGAGTGAGAGTTCGTGGTATGAAACTTTTGCATTATTAATTACTTTAGATTTATATAAATACAAATTACCCAAGTTATTATTTACAATGTGCAACTCTTTTGACGTCGCACAAGTGTGGAGCACCGAGTTTTATCTGTTTGTTTCTAATTTCTTATAGAAACAAGAGGAGGAACGCGAGGTGAGCCGCAAGAAGGAAAAGGATCGGCATGGGGATCGGGCACGCACGCGTGATAGGTCTAGCAGCCCTTCGCAGAGTCCTAAACGACGTGTTGAGAAGGACGAGAAGAAGAAACGGCACACCAGGTCAAGGTTTGTGAAATTTTCACAAAAAATGTTAAAATTTTACTAAAATTATATTTTTTACTTTAGATCAAAAGAAAAAACTGAAAAGAATGACAGAGAACGAGAGCGTGATCGTAGTCGCAGTGAACACGATCCAGAACGCGCTAGGGAACGTGAACGTGAATCTGTCAGGGAACGAGATCGCGAAAGAGAGCGTGATCGAGAGTTGAGAGACCGTGAACGTGAGCGGGAACAACGCGAGCGTGAACGAGAACGCCAGGATCGTGAACGTGAACGCGAGCGTGAGCGTGATCGCGATAGAGACCGAGATCGTGATAGAGACGAGACAAAAGTCAAAAGCACCAAGGATCTTCAAAAGGAGAAAGAAATCGAAGAGGAGACCAAGGAGAAGAAGCGCGTTGAGCGGCGGACGCGTGAAAAGGAAGCTTCCTATCAGGATCGCCTGCGTGCCTGGGAGGGTCGTGAGCGTAAAAAGTCCAAGGAGTACGAAAAGGAGAGAGAGAAAGAAAGACAACGCGAAGAAGACCGCGAGCGTGACGCGAAGAGACTCAAAGAGTTTCTGGAGGATTACGATGATGAACGCGACGATGTTAAATTCTACAAAGGTAGAGAATTACAAAACGTTTGGCTGAACGTGTCAAGGAAGCCGAATCTGACGGCCGAGATAGAATCAAAGAAAAGGAGGAGATTGAAGAGTTGAAGAATAAAATCTTCTCTGGAGAGTTTGATGATCCAACCGCCGAGTTTGAAAAGGTGAAGAAACAGCGCGAGGAGCAATACAAACCGAAGTTGTTGATTGATGTTAATATGGAGCATTGGAAGCAGAGGGAGAAGGAAAAAGGACGTGAACAGGAACGGCAGAGACAAAGGGATCGAGATCGTGATCAAGAGAGGCAACGACATCGACAGGAACGTGAAAATTCGTTGTACAACAAGCAGCGCAAGAACTCGCCGCTGTTGAAGCCGAACCGATTGATAGTGACAGTGATATGGACAATAATGATCACTTTAGCCCTACTGAACCTCCGCCCGAAATGGAGAATAATGTAAAGATTGAAACACCGCCGCCGGTGGACGAAGACTCACGGCATTCTTCTGCGTCTAATCATGAGGAGGAGGCCGCGAATCCAGCGCCGCATCATACAACGATGAAAATGACGCTTGCAAAACCGATTGTTTTCAGCCCGCATGGTCAGAATAGAGATCCAAAGCGGAAGAAATTGGATTTGCGCGAGGTGTTTAATCCTGACGAGGATGATAACACTACAATGGTTAAGAAACGAAAGTTAGTTCCCTTAGATTATAATGAAGATAAAAAGACGAGTAAAAAAGATAAGGAAAACGGTGAGAAGAAGTCGGAGGAAAGTATAAAATCGCAGGAAGAAAAGCGGAAACATATTAAGTCTTTGATTGAGAAAATTCCGACTGAGAAAGAAGCACTGTTTGCATATCAACTTGACTGGTCGGTGATTGATAACGGACTCATGGAGAAAAAGATCCGGCCATGGATAAATAAGAAGATTATTGAATACATTGGTGAGCCGGAACCCACGCTGGTTGATTTCATTTGTTCGAAAGTCATGGCCGGCTCACAACCGCAAATAATATTAGAAGATGTACAAATGGTAACATAACTTTAAATTTTATTTAAATACAGGTTAATTGTTGATGGTTTTTTAGGTTCTAGACGAAGAAGCCGAGGTTTTGTTGTGAAAATGTGGCGACTGCTTATCTATGAAGTCGAAGCTAAGAAATTAGGGTATGTTTATTTTATGAGGGTGTAAATAATTATGTTGATGTTTATTTTTGTTGTTTATTTGTGCAGAATTTCATAACGTACTGGATAAGTTAACTACAATCATGAAAGGGGTGACGCCTAGAAACGAACCTATCTGCTGGACATCGAAGCCGACAGGTTAGTGAGTTTCTTATATATTAAATTATGTCGAAATGATTATTTGCCTTCCGTTGCATTGGAGAAATGCATTACATTACACTTTACTTCGTATCAAACATATTTGTGGTATTAAATGGCGGCGACCGCTGAGTTTGCTCTGAATTAATTTAAGTATTATATTTATATGCGACGCCCGAAATACAACAGATTGTATAAAATAAAACATATCCATCTTAAATCCTCTATTTCTTGTATTCCAGGAATCTGGAGCAATATATTGTGCAATCTTTTGTAAGAGAGTAAGTGATTTTTTTCATATTTTTTTCTCCTTTTGTTTTGATGACACGCGAGTGGTGAAGACAAGCAATGTGCGAACCTGTTCTTTTGGTTGCATACTTTATTACTTTGAAATTTTTATGTTTTTGTAAATAATTTCTTTAGTTTTATACTATTACAACATAGTGCTGGATCGAATTTAACGTATAAATGATTTATTTAGTAAATAAAGGTCATAAATGAAACCATGGAAAATATTTTATTTAAATTTTTGTAGTAACACTCATTATTTGTTATTTGTAAAGATTTCAAGAAACATATTTATCTCCTCTGTATGTTGTTCATTCTGTTTTGTTTTATGTTGATAGAAATTCGTAAAACTTCTGTTATTAAAAGTTTTACGTGCATTTACTTTGAAATGCTAGCAAACTGCGCACTCTTGCGACATATTACATGTAAAAATGCACCTGATTTGATAGGTTATACCCAAGGACACATAAGCAAGTAAGGTTAAAATCAACCATGTGCGCACTTTCTACGTTTTAGTTAACCACCGCTTTTCTTCGTATTTACGGGACAACATTTGCCACACGATGGCTTTCAGCACAAAGGAAGCAGTCGAGATTCCACTGACGCGCGAAATCCTCCTGGACTTTGAGAACGATGTGGAAATTACCGAGGATATGCTGCCGTTCAAAATCAACGTGACAAAGAAATACTTCTGGGTATTCCTCAACGCGTTGTCATTCCAAGAAGAGGATCTTCAGATTGTTTTTCGAAGCCTCTCGGCTGAAGAAACCCTCGACAACTTCCACTTTGCCATCTCATGTCTCACAACGTTCGTCCAGGTAAACTTCACAGGCCCCGACCTGGATGAGGAAACTGCTACTTTTCTGAAGAACACAGTCAATGATGACAAATGTCGACGCATGTTAGCGATGAACAACGAAGATTGCAATGTCAATGTTAAGTTTCCCAGTCTGCTGGTAGCTGCACAGGTTATTTTCAAGAACTGCAGGAGTAAATCTTTTGCGAAGTTGTGGTGGATGTGGAGAACCATTCTCGTACATCAAAAGATATTAGATGAGTTGAGTCCTACATTGTTATCAGCTGCAGAAGCTCTACAAAAGGTCATTAAGGACATTAATCTTCCAAGTAAGAAAATAATTTGTTTTGAATTTAAAAAATTATACAAAAATGATATTCTAGGCAATTTACAAGCACTTTTCGAACTTGAACAAGCTCAATTATTCTGTGAATTTCGAAGTGTTGGGAAAGCCGAGGAGCACATCAACCGCGCGTGTAAAATAATGGGCCTGAAACACGAACGCTTCGGAAAACTGGGCAAACGCACTCGGTATCAAGAGAAAGACATAGCGCAGTTAAGCATGGAGGTAATTTTGCTGGACAAACCCGACGTGGAGCGGCCGGAAGTCAAAGAGCACAAAGTGCCTACAATTGTCACACTCAACGATGACGTGCGGCTGGATAAAATCGAATTCGCGAATGATAGCAAAGCAATGCGCTTGCCTGACCTGGAGCAACGAATACTGCTCATCCTCGCCCACCACATGATGATCTCGAAGCCTGAGGATGATTTGTTCTATGAAGAAATGCGCCCGTTTATCGAAATCATTTTAAGTCAAAATAATACATGGGCTGTGCGGACAGCGACGCTGCTCTTGAGGTGTAAATTGGAGGCGAAACAAAATCGGACCAAAGAGCGATCCCTGATGCAGTGCGAGGAGGTGGTGGTGGCGATGACGAAGGTGGATCCACCGCCGTTGAATCGAGTCGGCGGGGTTTACAGTACGTTTTTGATGCCGCTATGGAAGACGAAGGAGCAGTATGCTGACTTGACACTGAATCTCGGGTTGATCAAAGCCGCGTTGGAGTTGTATACTAGTCTGCAATTGTGGGAGGAGGTGATTATTTGTTATACTATTCTGAAAATGCGGCATAAATCAGCGGAGATTATCAAAGAACAACTGGAAATTAAACCGACGGTGAAGTTATGGTGTTTGTTAGGTAGGCAACCAGTAATACATAAAAACTTACAATGTTTGTTATTTAATAAGATTAGTTTAATTGATTGGATATTTTTATGTTAGGTGATGCTACTGATGATGCAACCTGTTATGAAAAAGCTTGGGAACTTTCAAAGCGCCGCTCACATCGTGCTCAACGACATTGGGGTTACCATTACTTCGTCCGCAAGCAGTACGCTGAATGTATTTCGCATTTCGAAAAGTCCGTCAGCATTAATCCATTGCAAGCGATGGTCTGGTTACGGCTGGGCTTCGCTGCATTAGAAACGCAAAATTGGCAAATTGCTGCCACCGCCTATCGACGTTACACTACTTTGGAACCGAATGGTTTTGAAGCATGGAACAACCTCGCGCAAGCCTACTTAAAACTAGGCAACACACAGAACGCACATCGAGCCCTCAAAGACGCACTGCGATGTAATTTCGAGAATTGGAAAATCTGGGAGAACTTCCTCATCGTCAGCGGGAACATTGGCAACTGGCAGGACATGATTACATCTTATCATAAACTTCTAGACTTGAAAGAGAAGTACTTGAGTTTGGAATCGTTACGATTGCTTGTCTATGAAGTTCTTGATCAGGGTGACATGACCGGACCAGATATGAAAAAAACACAAGAATTACTCGGCAGGGTGACTTCAATATTTCCTAATGAAGGCGGCGTGTGGGATTTATATGCCCGATTGGCAATGGTACCTCTGCTAAAGATTCAGCGTTTACAGCGAGCGTATCGTTGTTATGCGCAGGGTAATTGGGCGAAAGATCCGAAAGTATGCGTGAAGGTTTTGCAAATTTGTCTGCGACTAGGCAACGTGATGGAACAAGACAATGAGGGTTTGGATACGGTTATAAATTCGGTTCGGTTGAACATTAGTTCAGCGATTACTGTTGTGAAGAAAATGGAGTACGAGGAGACGAAAGCGCTGTTGCAGGAAGTTGCGGAGTTGTTGTGATTGAAACAAATGTCAAAATGCTGATTAACGCAAAGGTATGATTCCAACTTGATATGATCTATTTTGTATGAAATATGTATCTTTTGTTAAATACATATATACTGAACAAAGAAGAGAGATGGTAATTTTATAGAAATAACCCACCAAAATAGATTTAACAACCTCCAAAGAAGTTTTCTTGGGATTACAAGTCAATATTGGTTGCCTACTTGGTGAAGAATATTTATCACGATATTGCTATATTATGGTCAAACCAGTGCGACCTGTGTTTCGTTGATCAAATAAACAAACAATTTGGTTCAGTAACAATAACTAGAAGACGCGAAGAGAACCAAATTTACAATAAATTAATTTGAAACGGAAAATTGTTTTGTTAGACAAGATGAAATGTTCGAAAAGTGCATGAACAACCGTCTATTTTAAACTAATTGTTTATTAACAGTTGTATATACTACAGAGTTAATGCGAATTGTTTCAACACCATTTATTTATTGTTATTTTAAAAGATTCTGCACACTTTTGCAATGCAACTACTAGCGCTCCATTGCGGAGCACATGGAAAACACAGCTGAGTTGCCCCAGTCGGGCTTGCGTTGGCGTCCTTGACGTTTAAATATCATTTGTCACAAAGTCGCGCTAATTGCCAGTCGCCAGCGTCGCGTATGTGACAAGGCGCATAACTCGCGGGCGGAAAAACAGCGAGCAAAGTGTTGGGCAATATTTCACCAAAGGTGCGCCCACTGCCGAAATGACATCGTTCTTCCAAGGCGCCCTGGGCGGCAACCCCTTCGCGACGCCTGTCGGCAATCGCATAGGTAACACAAATCCCGAAACAAAATATTGTCGCTATCGTCAAAACAAATGCGTAGAAAAACACCTATCCACCATATACTAGAACCTATTACACTAGTCATCATCCACGACAACTAACTAAACTTACGACTATAAGTTTCACATTGAATGATTTTTTACAGAAAGTGCAACGGATGCGTCACTCGCGTCGGAAAACTGGGCGCTGAACATGGAGATCTGCGACCTGGTGAACGAAACAGAAGATGGGCCGCGTGACGCGATCAAAGCCATCCGCAAGCGGTTGGCTACGAACGCCGGCAAAAACTACACGGTGGTGATGTACACGCTCACCGTACTGGAGACGTGCGTGAAGAACTGCGGCCGGCGGTTTCACCTGCTCGCGTGCGGCAAGGACTTCATACAAGAGCTGGTGAGTGGGTGCTGGTCCGATGAGCACCGGCGAGCACAGGCAAGTGCATTGACTTGTTTGTAGGTGAAGTTAATTGGACCGAAGAACGATCCACCCACGGCCGTGCAGGAGAAGGTGCTCAGCTTGATTCAGTCCTGGGCGGACGCGTTCAGCAATCAGCCGGAGCTCGCTGGCGTCGTTGCCGTGTATCAGGATCTGAAGGCTAAAGGTATTGAGTTTCCAGCCACTGATTTGGATTCGATGGCACCTATTCACACACCACAAAAGGTATCAGCTTTCGTTTCATTTTCGCGGAAATAATTTGATACATTGTGGGAATAATTGTATACAGAGTGTTGAAGCAGACGCACCACCAATGGAAGGCGGCGGCAGATCATACCCTAGTTCACCTGCTCCTCACCTTCCTACTCCTCCAGGTGTTTTGACACAGGAACAGAGAGCTAAGTTGCAGTCTGAGTTGGATTTAGTTCAATCGAATCAGGCGGTGTTTGGGGAGTTATTGAATGAAATGAAGCCTGGGCAAGAGCAGCATCCATCAGAACTTGAACTGTTGCAAGTAAGTTTTAAGAATATTTCTTTATTAAAGTTTTAAAAATATGAAAATCTTAGGAATTAAACACAACGTGCCATAAAATGCAAGAACGTCTTGTCGAGTTGATAAGTAAACTATCCAATGATGAACTGACCGCTGAATTATTGCGAGTGAATGATGACATGAACAACCTATTTCTGCGATATAGTAGGTGGGAGAATAATCGCGAGGGGCGGCAAGGACAATCCGCATCTACTGTGTTAGGAAAAGCGATTCCTAAACCAAAAGTAGAGGAAGATAGTCTGATTGATTTTGGTCCGCCCGAGGATTTAACGGATCAACTTAGCAAAATGGGTATGGTTATTCAATATTTACCGCCATTTTGTTTTCATTTGTTAAATATAATTTAAACTTTTAAAGGTGTGACTGGTGTGAGTGCCTCAGACCAACTTGCGAGTGTTGGAACAGTTAAAGCAACAAATGGCCCGCCCGGAAATGATGAGTTTGACATGTTTGCGCAGTCGCGGAAAGCTTCCTATGAAGGCAACAAAACAACGTAATTATTTTATTATTTTTGTTTATGTTTTGAACTATTTGTAATTTTGATGTTGTTTTTGTTAAAGTGGAAGTAGCTACAAGGATAATCTCGAACCAGATCAGCTCGCCGGTGGTTTATCGACCGCCACTCAAAACCGGGTATGTGAATTCAACATAAAAATAATGCGTTCATGTTAAAGGTTAATTGTTGGAAGTTTGAAACGTTAGCATGTGTGTTTTTGGCACGAGCAGTTTACTGGTGTTGTTTGTTACGTTTGTTATTTATTACGTGTTTTGCACAGAACCCTGCTGATCTTGAATATGACGAAATGGCGGCTTGGTTGGGTGAAGTAAGTCTGTTTATGTTTCTTCCGTTTGTAGTTCTAGTTTACATTTTTTGTAAGCAATTGTAGTATTTGGTAGTGTATTGATGTAGTTTAGTATATTTCATCCCAATTATGGGTTAAGATAGCCTGGGATGCTAGTTATAATTTTATATTTATTTAATGTAAAAAATATTAATTTGTGAATTATTCATAGGCTACAACTGAAGAATCAGTAACAAGCAGTGAGTTTGACCGGTTCCTCGCTGAGCGAGCAGCCGCAGCGGACGCGTTACCATCGAACACGAGCACCACCACCGCCTCCAGTAATCGAACGCCGAAGAAAGAGGACAAGGAAGGTTTGCTCGCACGCTAGGTAAAGCATTTAGTGCAATATGAGGGGTAGCTGATAACACAGGATAACTAACATATTAATCAGTGCATTAAGTCAGTTTTAAGTGGTTGAAAACGTTGAGTATTAAGTCATACGTTGGAAAGTTAAGTTTAAAGGTTTTGTTTTGCGAGCGGTCGCGCTCGTGCATTTTTATGTTTACCGACGAGACAAATAATTTGGTTTGTTTGTTTTTCAAACACGCGTGTCACTCTAACGACTTATGCTTCTTGATAAACATTAAACTCAACAAACAACCGATTAAACAGATAACAAAAACAAAATCTATACACTAAAGTATTCTACAAATGAGCTATTCGCATGGTACCAGAGAAACATTTGTGATTGATTTTAAACAAAAAAGATGACGACGCGGAAATTTGATGAAATTTTATCAAAATTATGAAATTGTTGTACTTATATGGTACATTGATCCATTATTATGAATGTACATATTTGATATGCTTAAAAGTTCTGTATATTTTATAAATGTTTTCTAATGAGGCGTGCGGCATGATGTGTGAGGGTGAAATTTGTTGGTATGTGGTTAGAGGTGGAGATTGAGAATTACTGGTCGGTGTAACGCGGCACGTCACTGGATTGGCGACGTGCGGCGGATTAGAAATAATTTACATATTAAATGGTTGTAAAATGTAGCATAGATTTTTACCAAAGAGTTTGTCATGTACTCGACTGGAAGATGTGAATATCTATTATGATTTTGTGATTATCGTAGTATTGAGTATCGATGAGCTGGGATTCGGACCGGAATCTATATTAATTTTTATCTCTAATATTTAACGAAATATGAATATATTATATGAGATGCGAGCAGGGCGTAAACATTTTTAATTATAACGAATGTACTAATTGACTCGAGGCGTAAAAATACATAATTTATGGTAAAATATTGATGTAAAAAGAATAAAATTTAGTTTTCAGTTTGGTATATCTTACCAGTGCGCATGAGTAACATGTACCTTGGGTGTATATTTGGTTGCCTAACGTAAAATACTAAACTCACTAATATTATTGGAGAAATTTAGGAATTGCATTGTTTTTATAATAATTAACAAGTAAAAGGCGGGGATTGTAATGTACTATTTTATTTATATATATAATATATATTTGTGTATATATATATTTTAAAAATAACCACTTTTATTAATATTTTACCAATCAGTATTTACGCATCGCAATGTGTCATTCATTGTCGCTTCAATCTCTTTTGATTACGTTTGTTTCAACACGCTAATCATTACTTTGTTTCGCTCCCAATCCATTCACGAATAAAACACGTCTCAGCGCAACCATTATGTACATCGTCACGTAACGGGATTCTGTCTGTTTCATATACATTCAAAAGGAAACCAATCGAAAAGTTCGCGCGCGCACAAGCCACAATGATGTGTGTAGTCTCTCGATCGGCAACGTAATTGTAACTACCCTGACAACCCAAACACGCTTCAACCCTCCGCACTTTCTCACTCGCAACGCATTACAATTAATCGTTTATGTTAATACAATATGTACAACGAATGAAAATCTAGGAAACCTAACTGCTAAGCCTACAATTAAAGTACAATTGTGTTTTGCTTTCTCGATATTTGTTCTGTCATGTTGCTATATAAAAAGTATTTCGCTTTGAACAACCCTGCGCTGCGTGCTGCGTTCGCCACGCCGGAAGTACAATAGTAGACAAACGCATGCGCGACAGCGGCGGGCAAAAAAAATAAATAGTAATAGTAGATTTAACTAACGAAATAAATTAGTATAATGTAAACAAGAAAAAAAATCGTGTCTCGCGTGTAATGCTGATTTAGGTAATAACTATTATTTGGCTCAGTGAGTTGGGTGAAGAGATTCGACTTGATGCACTGTAGAAAAATGAATTGTTTATCACACACTCGAAGATGCGGGTGGGAATGACGCCTCAAAGAGTCTGTGGTTGGTGGTGGTGGTTGTTGATCAGTCAAGTATCGCACGTGTGCTGCACGTTCAGTAATGTTCGAGTGGTCGTGCCGCCGCAGCAGTTCCACTCCGGTGCTGTGTGTCGTTTTCAGCCGCCGCCGCCGCCGCCGGCGACGTCGTCGGTAGCTCGGCAACTGGAAACAAACACAAGAGGTGACGCGCAGTTGTCGGCAATGCGCCCCATCGCATGGAGGTAGAGAGAAATGTTCGGCGCTCGGCGGCCATTTTGTTTCGTATCGGACAATGGAAAACGAGTATTTCCGTGCAAATTGCTTTAGTATCATCGAGTCCTATCCTAGATTTATGATTTGGATCTCGCCGGAGTCTATTGCGGAACCAGAGAGCGATGATTCTCTTTTATCCAATTTACCTATAAATGTGGCCCAGCCAAAGAAAGAAAAAACAATTTAGTCACATAATAACATAAATTATAAACAAAATAAAACCAAAATAATAAAGAAAATCAAAAATAAACTTTTGTATTAGCTAATAATCTACCGGTTTCTCTCTAAATCCACCATTTTTCATCTAAAACAATAAGTTTATCACTTCTTTTCTGTCTCCATTACTCACTTCGACTTGTTCCCGGCAAGTTACTCCTCGAAGAGCTCGATTCCTTGCTGGAACCAGCACCGTTCGATTTCGGCATTTGAGGTATGATCGTAATCTCATTGTTGATCTGTAGCGGCTTGAGCAGCGATTCACCTTTGCTGATACTCGACGAACTTGAAGTTGGCGCGTTGCTTGACGTCGGCGCACTACTCGAGGTCGTCCCGCCACTTTTCTTATCAATCGAACGCTTCGCCACAACCGAGTGCGCGGAGTAGACGTGATTTTCAAACTGTTTATACATTCCGAACGTGGCCGTGCACACAGTGCACTTGTACGATAAGTGCGCCGGTTTCAGCGTCATATTGTGATCCCTAGCGACGTGATTTAATAACTTCCATTGATAAACCTACAAATATAAATAATAACAATAACAATATTAGTTTGTGGTGAATGTGAGGTTGTGTTCTACATACCCGTCCACACACAGGACATCTCCCGCTGTCTTTGCACTTGTTGGCCGCCTCCTGCATACTGGAGGTGACCAAGCCGTGCGAGCCAAGCAGATGTCGTTCAAGGCCCTGGTCGGTGAAGAAACGAAATTGGCACTTCTGGCAGTTCAGCGGCGGCCGGTTATAGATCATCTTCGGGTGGATTTTCACCTTGTGGATCCACTGCATGTGATTGCGCAGTTGCTCCAGGTCTTTAATATACCCATCGCAGATCTCGCATATAACAAACGAGTTCTTCGAGTTGGAATCGCCCGGTTTCACCAGGCCGCCGCCCTGCATGTGTTGTGACGAACTGGTTGAACCGCGAGGTAGTGGTGTGATCGAAATGCTCGGCTGGTGGACCGTCTTCGACTTCGGTGATGAAGACTGCAAGACAACACAAAATCACATTAAATAAGGTAAGTGGAGCATGTTTGCTAACAATGAATATTCGCATGCCATGAGTAGAGAAATACATCCGCAAAGTTGTTATAAGAGGAAAACAACAATGATACAGAACCGGCGTACCTGAACGCTGATCGAATTTGCGGTGGAGGACAATGTGGGGAATACGCCTAGCCTATTTCCCAATTCTTGACCACCAACCACCTAGCATCATCACACACATTAAACAATAACGTCTAGGAACGTGAGATGTTTTGATGAGGTAATAGTTGACGCGTAAAAGTTTTAAAATATTTTTAAAAAAAATTGACCACCCACCTGATACAACTGGTTACCGCTGATTTGGAAGTTTGTCGGCACAAGAACCGAGCTGCCACCTGCAAAAGTCGGCATGACATCCAAAGCCTTTTGTGCGGATTTAAGGAGCTGCTTACTAGACACGCCTCCGAGGCTAGGCCGTCCGCGTCCACGGTTCACCGCCGTCTGTTGCGCCTGTTGCTGTGCAAGCGTCGCCGCCGCCGCCACCGCATGAGTCTTGATAAACTGCGCCTGTGTATTCTTCGTCATTGCCTGGTACATCGCCGCAGTCATAACTAAATTCGGCGTTTTCAGCCGTGGTTGACGCGGGATCTTCGCCGGTGGTTCCCAGTCCAGTGGCGGTTCCATATTGCGTTCTGGTTTGAATTTCTTCGCGCAGGCGACGGAATGACGTGACAGTTTACCCTTCTGGTTGTCTTCGAATGGACAATTCGGACACTGATGGAACGCGGGCGCGCGTTCCAAACGTCCACGCACGCAGTGCTCTGCTTCCATGTGAAACAGTATATCATGCGGACTGCGTACCTCATACGTGCAGAAATTACAGCGATAGACAAAGTTCTTCATGTGCGGTGTTTCCAAGTGGAAGTCCATCGCAAGCTTCGAATCAGACTTGTAGCTGCAGAACTCGCACTTTTTCAGTGTTGTGCGGTACGGCTCGTTGTTCTCCTTGGTATACTCGAGTGTTTTGATGAGTGATTGGATGGTTTTGTTCGTTTCATGGTTGCAACCGCCTTCGCGATCGCGTTTACGCTTCTGTTGCTTGAGGAGATCCGTCTGGACATATTCTTGTACTAAATTATAGCCAATATCAACGAAAAATTTACCTAAAACATTTAAAAAATTAATTTTTTACAATTTTACATTTAAAACAATATATTATACCTATAGGGCTGTCAAAGTAAGGTTTGATTTTCTCATCGTCTTTTTTACCGACATCAGAATCATCATCTTTAATCTCTTCCACGTCGGAATCATCATCAGCGCCATTTTTCTCTTCAATTTCACGCTCTTTTTTCAACGCGGTTGCTAATTCCCCAATGTATTCTCTAAAATCCTTTATCGGAGGCTTTTCGTACACGTAGGGCACGATAAATGACGGCGCTTCAACTACAAACATATCATCTGTCAGCGATGGCAGTATACAAGTTCCCGCTGCCGCCGCCGCGGCCACAGCTGAAGGCGAGAGGACAGGCGTCAGGGCTGGAACTGCTTTCGTGGAGGTATTCATCGGAATCGGCGTGATGGTAGCGCGCATATTCGCCGGATACAATCCTTGCGCAGGTAACGCCATCGGCAGTACATTAAACGTCGAAGACGTTGTCGACGCCCCTGACGTTGTGGTTTTCAATGCTGATGACACAGACACTGGTCCACGCCCGGATAAAATCGAATTCGTGTCGATAATCACCAAAGTCGGCTCCTTTTTGCCGGAATTCGGCGGGGAAGTCTTCGATGCGATCTCCACTAAGCGTTTGGTATCGTTTACGACAATCGTCGCGGATTTCCTCGCTTTCTTTGCAGCTGCTGGCACAGCCAGTGGGTCTTCCTCCATGATTTCCTCAATATCTGACTCATCCGAGATGATTTCCTTGGACATTACACGTTTCGCCTGCATCGTTTGCCGCCTACTGCTGCGTCGTGGCGCTGGATCTTCTTTCTTGCTGGATTTTTCAGGAGGTTTCGGTAGATCTGCGTCAATCACCGCACAATCCGAGTCTTTGTCTTTATTCGGTGACGTCGTACCGTTTTCTTTGATATCGTCGTCCACGATCATGACATCATCGGTGTCGTCAAGCTTCTCAGGCAAATTGGTTCGTCCCTCCTCCTCCTCTCCGTCTTCCACCACCTCATCAATCGCGTCATCATCATCATCACTATCAATTGTATGCACCTCAGTCACCTCATCATCAGAAACTTCTTTAATTTCACTTTCCTCTGGAGTTTTAGTTTTATCCGGCTTGGAAATGTCAACACTTTCGTTTAATTGTTTTTCATCCGGGTCTTTATTGGGTGTGGATGGTTTTTCACTAGGTTCATCACTGACACTATCATTTTTAGTGACACTGTCTGTTGATTCATCCACCTCCATTACTTCTGCAGATGTATCTACTTCTGATTCTTCTTCTTCATCTTTAATATTATCATTTACTTCTTTTGCGTCGTCAGTCTCCATTGTTAAATCTTCTTTTGCATGTTTTTCTTTTATGTTACCATTGACAAGAATGTCTCCTAAAATAATTTATGTTTATAAATTTATTTTTTTTATTTTTTTGTTTAATTTTTACCTTTTGATTCTTCTTTGGAGTGAATATCATCTACTTCCCCCATTTCTACAGCTGCTGCCATATCAACTTATTGAAATCTGTGAAAAATTATTTGAATTATCATCAAATATTCGGCGAGTAAACATTTTTAAAATGGCGCCACATGCCACATCCGGCCTTGACTGACGGTTGTAATAAAAACGCGAGAAAGAGGCGAAGAGAAAGGTTAACAGTACCTAAATAGGTTAGCCGTACAAAACCATACTAACAAAATGTTTGAGAAAATAAAAACAAACAAAAAGCACTGGAAAATCGATGTGTGTGTTTTCAATCAAGTAGGCGTATTTTGGTAAAGTAAGTTTTATTTCCAAATGGCAAACAACTTCAACTAACCTAACCAATTTTGTTTTCCCGGTATACATACACACACAACACACACTCTCACGCATACAACGTTTCGCAATGACCGCAACCAATTTACCTATGAGTCCCACATGACGATAAAACCCACAATCGCCGAAATCTCCGAGCGCGCGCGGCGTTATCAGTCGACAAAAACACCCAGTCAGTCCGAGATATACGCGAAGCGGGTCGAACAGCTGCACATTAACACGGTAGACACGCTCGGACTCGACGACCGCTCGTAGATACCCGAAGGAATATGCGCCGACCGAGCCGATATTCAAACGATGCAGCACGCGCACTCCCGGTGGCGTTGGTGCGCAAAACCTGCGTGCCTGCAACACGCGTCGCATCTACCACGAAGATGGCAGCGGCGGGTTTCCCAAAGGGCGATGAGGGCGAAATACGCTCGCGGTACGGTCTCGCTGAATCGCCAGCCGCTGGCGGACCTCGGCGCTGCACTAAACTGCCAATATGGCGTCTAACGGTGCGTCACGTGACCCGCAGGCAGCACACAACCGACGCGGCGGAGGGGGCGCCGCCGCTCTGCACACGCCGCACCGCACCTCACGACGACAGGACGATGTCTTTCAATTTTTTTTTCGCTTCTCTTCGTTACGTAAGCAAGCGCAACACAACATCTCTTTGACTACTTCTTGCGCGCACGCTGCTGGTACCGGCTGCGGCAACACCATCTACCTAAATTCAAAACTTTTCCTATAAACATCAACTTGTAAACTCGTGTGACATTCGGCGCGAAATTCAAAAAGGCGGCATGTTCGCATCGCGTGGAAACATGCGAATTGTGAACACACATGAATAAATAAATGTTGATAAACCGAAGATGGGCCCCGATTTGTGGGCAGCGCGGAAAAATAGAAAGTCCGCTGCGCTGCGGCACTCGACATTCGGAGCGAGATGGAGCGCCGGCGAGAGCGAGACGGCGCGTTCCGGCCCGCGTACCCCTCTCCGCCCCGCCGCCGCCGGGCGCGGGCATGACGCCGCACGGCGCGCAACGTCGCGCTGGATGTTATAAACAACTGTAAACACCGCCCGCGTCCCGCGCCTCACCGCCCGCTACCCACCATGCGCTGTGCGTGTGTGTGTGTGTGTGTGAGCGCGCTAGGCGAGCCGGAGCCGATGCGGACACCCCTCGGCGGAGCGAGAGTGGTTTCGTCCGCGCCAGCATTTTGTTGCACACGCACACCAACAAGCGCACTTTGACAGCGCGTCGAGTGCGCCCGGCGTCTAATTATTATACTTTTTTTCCCCGACATTTGCAAATGACGAGGTTGTGATGATCGACGGGGTTGTCACGAGCACGTGGTCAACACGTGCACGAAGAGCAAGCATACATTCTAGACTAGACTTTGAATGAAAAAACATAACTTACTAGTTATTTTTATTTAGTTATCTTCTTCTTCTGCGTCGTCGTTGTCGTTGAATGACAGCAATTGTTTGTTGGTTGTCTTTTTGACCTTCTTTTGTTTTTTCTTCGGTGGTTCTTCCTGCGCGTCGGTTTCCAGAGGTTTGTTGTTTGGTTTTTCGCGCGCTTTGAAAATAATCGGCGCTGTTAAATCAGCTGGCTTTTCGTTTTCCTCTGCAAAACATTCAAGTTGTAAGATGTAGTGGCGTTGTCATGACAACTTGTTGCGGTTGTTAGATTTCCGCGCGCGTGATAGCCAAGATGGCCGCCGATTTTATTAAACATTTGCTGACGCCGGCGACGGAATATTATACAAGGGGCACTCGTAATATCGGGCGCAACCATTTTCGTGACGGCGGGTGGGAGGCCGGGCGGCGTGCTGCGGGTCTCGGGCGGAGGCGCGCGGGCAAAAGCGATCAAAAATGAGCGGCCGGCCACGTGATGTGACGCGTCACAGGCAAGCGGCGTCCTTCTTCAACGCGCTTCGCAAAAATCTCGCCGTCTCCGCGCGGCACAACCGAAAATCAATTTCTTCGCGGGATCTTTGTCGATATATTTTCAACCGTTTTTCGTACATTACGGCGTAGTTTCAAACTTTCGCGCATGGCACGCCGAAATGCGATTTGAATTTGCGTTTCCCGCTCAAAGAGGAAAATGTGGAAATATTTACTTTTTACAATTTGAAAGTTTTTAGGGACTTTTTATCGCATGAAAGCTCCCTAGCAGTGGTAACACTGATCTTTTTTTGTTGATTAACATTTCTACACAAGTACCAAGTCCAAATGTGATATAAATAAGTAAAAAAGCGTAAATTTTACCTTTTTCTAATTGTGCCTTGTACGTGTCAGCTTCCTCTGCGGTGAGATCACCGGGTTTCAACACGACTACAGTCGGCAACTCTTCGTTTGTGTCCTCAAAGTCTTCCGGTCGTACAGCACCCAAATCTTCACGCTAGAAACACAATTGTCATCGAAATATAAGTAAATTTCTTTCACTCTCTAATAAAAATAGTAAATTTTATTTCATGCGGTGTTCCATCACACTGAGTGTGGAATCTAACCTACTTTCGTGTCGACCGTGGGGCCCTCCTTGTATCCCGCTTGCTCTTTCAGCTTGCGCAAGAAACTCGGTTCGGCTGGCCTGCTGAAGGTGATGTTCCTCTTGGACATCGCAATCACAGCGATCGCGGCGAGGCGGCGGTGGCTTGGCGAAGACGCCGATGTCGGGGGGCTCACTCGACACGCACACACTCCTCACCCACACACATGCACAAGGCCCGACTCGACTCTCGGTGGGCGAAACAAAACACGACGGACACGCAACTCGCAACGCGCTGTCACGACTGACGCGCGGGCACTGTACCGCCAGTGTTCGAATGGTTGCCGGCGACTATATACATACTGCGCATGCGCGGATTGTTTTCCTGTGCGGTGTAGGGAACGGGAACGAAATTTCTGAACGAATTTTGCGGTTTGCGCGTACCGCTCCAGCGTACTCTAGCGGCAAGCTTTTTTTTACGTGAATCACTTGTGGTTATAGTAACACTAGGGATTTTTCTAGTAACATTTCACGTTTGAGTAGTGTGTGAATTCTCGTGTATTTTTAGGTTATAATTTTATAAATCAATTTTTGCCACAGTATTTGAGCTCTAGAGTGTTCGTTTCGTTGTTTTGTGCTCATAAACAAATCATTTTTAATATATAGTTAAAAGCGATCGTTAAATTATTGTCTGCAAATCTATATAGTATAAAATTCGAGAACTAAACCGACTAGAATCATGACTTTGCAAAATCTAACCTCAAGTATAAGCTTTTCAGAGGTTAAGTTTAATTAAATACTGTTTATAGGCCTATTTAGAGCCGTGTTGCCTCTGAACTGGTAGAAACAACATTTCGCGGATACGTTTGCGTTCTACGCGCACTGTAATACCCAAAATTCGGATCACTCGGGCTGACGACGCTCTGTCGTGGACTTTGGAAGAACCGCCCCTCGGCTGTTTCGTGATTGGGCGAGACAGTGTCGATACATTCACATGAACTACCCGTGCCAGGCACACTCAACAAACTCTCTGTAGATTTATTCGTCTGAATGTATCTTCGCTGTGAACCGGCCGGCGAGGGCGCTATCGTCGCGTAGTGTTTATCCGTGCTAGTACTATGCGCGCGCACATACTGTATTTTCTTCTTGCTGTTTGCTGTTGAATGGGTTGCGGACTTTGCGTTGCCATCAACGTAACCGTAACCGAAACCATAACCACCAAATGCTTTAGTTGCTAGATTATCCCACGATTTCGGCTTGACAGGATACTGGACATATATTGGTTCGGGTGGAATGTATTGGTGAGAAGGTTTGCCTACTTTTGAGATTGATTTTGTTGAGTTTAGTTCCGATCCGTCCCAGTAGAGTGTATCAGTACTAAGTGACGTTGTATAACTTGTAGTTTCTCCAGTTGTAGTCGGTGCCATTCCACTAAATTCACTAGATGTACATGAATGTAAACTGCATTGACTCACAAGACCAGCGCCAAGTTGGAAATACCTCCGTGGACCACTCATTGTCTGCGTTTGTGACTGGGTTTTTCCTTGAGCTTGACTTTGACCTTGTCCCTGACCTTTCGGCAGGCTTTTCGTGCTACTCAAAGTAGGAGTTTGTGTTTGAGATGACGTAGAATGTGGTCTTGCTCTTGGCGGTGGGTCAGTTTGTGTTTCCTCTGACTTTGAGTCTCGTTTCTTGTGTCTGGATCTCCTCCTCGCTGAAGGAACACAATGTGGGTCACAACATGGACTCGCAAGGTCATACGCTTCCAAACTAGTGTTATCTCCGGAATTATTACTGGGTTGTAGACAAGGGTTGCATAAATGTCCGGCGTAACTATGCTCCGATGACTTTTTCTGTTTGGTTGTGCCCGTAGTGCCGTTGTGATTGCTGTGCGATTTCGTATTTGAGCTGGGTTTGGTTTCGCATGGAGTTTTAACGATAAAATGGTGGCGATCGTTCGCGGGTTGTTCGAATGTAAGCAGATACTCCCCACTGCTGCTCGTGCTGGGCTGGAGCATGTAGCGATAGCGCGGATCTAAATACTGATAGGCTAGGATCAATGTTGGCTGGGCGGGTTGTGGCTGCACCACTGTTTTCGCAGCCACATCTTCGGTGGATACAGTCGGGCGACAGTACGAATACGTTGGCGTTTGACTCGCGGATGTCTCCTCGACATTCTCGCTTTTGTTTTGATTCTTTTTCCGTGCGGGTAAACTGTGCGTCTTCCATTTGCCTTCGAGAAGTTGGCGTTCGCGTAGGCACAGTTTTTCTAATTCTGTCATTTTGCTTTGGAGAATGCGTTGGAGTTGTATGTAACGCATGTGCAGTTCAACCTAGGCAACCAACATTTAATGTATATTATTGAGGGATTAATTGGTGTATATTTGGTTGCATACCTTACGGACACAGTCTTCGAATAATACTACCATTCGCATGCGCGTATCACAGTTCTTAATGTAGCCTACGAGAGTTTTGTGGTCGGCTTTTTCCATGTCGGTGCCGTTGATGGAGAGGATCACGTCGCCTTCGCGCATACCAGCACGATAAGCCGGTCCGTCGTAATCCACGTAATCAACGTACGTGATCATTTCGATTTCCTGCTCCTTCTTGTAATGGATGCCGTAGCTCTGCAGCGTGAAACCAAACGAGCCGTTTTTCTTTTCGACGATTATGGTGCGTCGCCGGCGGTCTTCTTCCGGTTTCGTCACTGTTACACGATCGGATTGAACGCGCTCCAAGATTTGTGACTGTAATACACAAACAAACAAACAAAAGCTTTAATAATAGGTTAGGTTACATTTTGACATTGAACATTTTGACAATCATTCTATTTATGTATTATTCATGTTCTACAATTGAATATTCATTCAGTATTCATTGAATAATCAGCGCGTGTGACGTGCGCTACGGGTGGCTGACTTTCTAATCGCAAAAATTGCACGCGAAATCCGCCGATATTGATTTCGTCTGGGATTTTTTGTTCATGAATAACTCACCGGTGACGACGTCGTATTCTCATCGTCGCTCTGATCATTATGCAACTGTGTTTGACTCTGCTGTTGCTGCCTGCGCATGTTTAACGAGCAGGTTTTTGTAATAAAATGATGTAATGTGCGTGTGTCACGCGTTTCACGTCCGCTGCGAGCCGAGCGAGTCCATTTTCAACAGCTGTTTGCAGCGTCGCGACGCTCGGCTAGCCCCCGCACTTGATATCGACCACTCAGCGTCGCGCCGTGCCACCTACTGCACCACTGCACGGGGCTTGTCATCATCGCTTTGCTATGTCCACGGCGTCGACAATTGTGCGCACACGTGACTCGTTACGTGTAATTATTCATACGTTAAATATTTATAAACATTGTTTACCTTCAGTTTACCATCGACGTCATTTTGCGCACTTTTAAAACTTTAACTTTGTAGGTGTAGTGCGTGTATAGTGCGCACTTTTAAACTTGTGTATACGTGGTTGCATACTTTTGCATTGAGTATACCTCTAGGTGCATATAGTGGAAGTTGTGTTGCGTCCCGCCAAAAAGTTAACACGCGTACAGCAGGTGTTTGTATTGCTGTGTCAAAGTGTCGGTTGGAATTATAACCTCTACGACATCACGATAAACGTGAAGGGTGTAAAATTTTATAAGTTATACAACTAAATTAACTTCATCATTAGTTGCGTTGTGCTGTTATGTGTATATCGTTGAAATGACTGCGAATTTGGACTCGTTGACCGCTGCGCTCAATAAAACATCGCTCACGCCTGGTGGAGTCTCTTTTGCTGGGAGAGGACTTAAATTAAACAACGCTGAAGATGGTATATTTAATATATAATAAAAAAATAATACATTATATAAAAAAAATAAAATTTTTAGCGAAAGAAATCGTCGAGGCAATAAACAATTGCCCAGACTTACAATTTCTGAACCTAGAGGGCAACACGCTCGGAATTGAAGCAGCAAAAGCTATATCCCAAGCACTGAAAAATAAAAGTGAATTCCAAAGGGCATTATGGAAGGATCTCTTTACAGGTCGCATGAAAGATGAAATTCCTATAGCTCTCAGACACTTGGGTGATGGTCTGCTTACAGCAAATGCAAGATTAGTTGAACTAGACTTGAGTGACAATGCATTTGGACCTATTGGAGTTGAAGGCTTGGCTTCTTTACTTAGAAGTTCATGTTGTTACCAACTTCAAGAGTTAAGACTCAATAACAATGGTCTGGGTATAGGTGGAGGCAAAATGTTGGCTGGTGCACTTCTAGATTGTCATCGCAACAGTCAACAAGAAGGAAAACCTATGGCTTTGAAAGTATTCATTGCAGGAAGAAACAGATTGGAGAATCCTGGTGCGACTGAGTTAGCTAAAGTGTTTAAAACTATCGGAACACTTGAAGAAATCGCCATGCCACAGAATGGTATTTATCATGTGGGTATAACAGCATTATCAGAAGCATTCAAGAGTAATTTGAATTTGAAAATTCTCAACTTGAATGATAATACTATAGGAGGTAAAGGTGCAAGAGCACTAGCAAAAGTGATTCCTAAGTTGAAAGAATTAAGAGTTATTAATTTCGGTGATTGTTTATTAAAAACAAAAGGAACTGTTGCCATTGCTGAGAGTTTAGCAGAGAGTGAAAACATTGAAGAGATTTATCTGGATTGTAATGAGGTGAGACATGAAGGAGCCATAAAACTTTTGAATATTTTGGAGAAAAAGGTAAATATTAAAAGTTATCTATCAATGGGAATTGTTTCGGAGAAGATGGCTGTCAGAGAATCATGAAAACTCTGCAAAAGTTCGGAAAAGCACAGATTTTGGATAGTTTAAGTGAAGATGAAGGTGAAGACGAAGATGATGAAGACAGCGAAGAAGCCGCTTCAGAAGAACAAGAAGAAGAAGAGGAAGAGGAGGAACACATTCCAAATCCTGCTTCTTCAAACCCAATTCGTGGAATTGTCACTGTTAAAGACTTCATGGCGTCGCCATCGCCTGATAAATTGATTGCCCTGGGTGAAAAACGCAGCGAATTGATTCTTGCACATGCAAAAGTGAGTTTTATTCATCTACAATCATTAAAAAACATCATTAACATTGTTTTTTTAAAGGCTTCGCCTACAGATACATTTATAGAATCATTTCTGGAAGTTTTGATGCACGTCGCATCAATGTCCAATAAATCCAAGCAAGATCCAATGAAAAATTTGGTTGTCAAGTGTTGTGAACAACTCTGCGTCGAATTATTCGGCTGGTGTCAACGTCACGATAAAATCTCGATTTTGAATAATACTATATTGGTATACCTGAATTTAATCAAGGTTGGTAACACATGTTCTTATCTCAAAATTCTTATCTTTATCTTTATTGTTGACGCCGTGTTTGTTGTGTGCTCAGAGTGAAAACAAGAAGTTTGTGCCCACGTGGGACATCGAAGGCTGCCTGCAGACATTTGAAGCCATTGTGAACAAGAACTATTTCCCGGTTTCAACGCGCGACGCACTCAAGTGTTTCATTCAGAGGTACAGGCTTAAAACCGAATGTATCCACGTGTTTAAACACTTGTGAGATGTGTGAGATTTGAGTGTGTGCGTGTGTTTCTGTTGCAGAGATGTCACAAGCAAGAAAGGCAAGCACCTCGAGGCGAAAACCAACCTCTTGCAGCATCTACATTAAGTAATTGATTAAATGGTGGATTATTTATCGATGTAAGTTGTTTTCTCGGGGAATATATCCTCTAAGTTTTACTTCCCATGCGAATATCATCAATGATGTTAACATCCCAAGTATCCAGAAGGCAAATATTCCTTTGGTGTGTTCCAGAGTTAAACTTGTGTTGTATTTCGACTCTGGTGAGTCTCCTGATTGTAAATATCTGTTCAGATGTAAGTCATTATCTGTTCCTAGAATTTCCCAGTGTTGTAGTAGTCCACATGCTTCCACACGACCCAAAAATATCCAAAAATCGTTCAAGTGTTGTGAATGACGATGGAGGTAAATCGTTGTCTGACCGGTGTAGATGTCATTTTGTAAGATTTTATACTTGGATAGAGTGTCTATAGTAATATATCCGTCAAATGTAAGCGCTCCGGAGGATATTGTACGTTGAGCAACAAGAATATCCTTTGCTTGCGCTGCCAATGTATCGAAGGTTACATGGTCAACCTCCCGAAAATTTTTATATAAGGTTTGGTATAGTAAAGCATCGTCATTTTGGATTGGTGTGATGACTCCTGGGTCTTGAGTATACCACAATAAGTTGGAGTTTGCTAAGTCTTCAACTGTGCGTATTTCATGGCCTTTTCTACAAGATAATTCATGATTTTTAGTTTATATTAATGGTGATTCTTACATTGGTACTATTATCATTGCTGCAAGCTTTGAATTATAACACATTGCAATGAATTGTGCTAAAATGACCAATATCATCGACCAGAGTTTGATATAAATTATGTTTTTAGTTGCTTGTTGAAGCATGATGGTTATAATGAGTATCCAAACAGGAAAATCATGTTTTACAAAGTAATATATAATAGTAAAGATGAAAAAGTTCATGAGGACAAAAATGAACCATATTTCTTTGTGAAACATGTTTAGGTATTGCAACCAACCATATTCTGCTCTAAAATCATTGAAATTTTAGTTTTTTTAATCAAAAATTTGTGTTTTTGACTTGACTAACTTTTTTTTTTGGTACCAAACATGTAATGGCCGTAGTTGATATGGTAGACAACGCGCCTGTTAATTTATACCTTTTTAAATTTAACAATAAGCTGCTTATAGCAACATCCGTTATTTCAGTACTCGTGAGATTTACCAACGTATCACCGATTTTGTTAGATGCAAATTCATAGGACTTTAATGTTATGTTTCTATGTTTTGTGTATTCGGATAAAGCCCGGAGATGGCACCCACTTCCAGTTTCTGAAAATATACAACAGCAAATATATTATTGATTGATATAAATGTATTTGTATTAAAAATTAGGGAATTACTGTGATCGAAGTAGACTCGTGCATTGGACCAAGCCATGATCCATGTTTTATTGAATCTGTTTATTATTTTGTTTGGGAATAAGTCATTTCCATAGACAAACGCTGATTTTTCAATGTCCCAGACATCAAGCAGGATAATTTCTTTAGTAAATTGTGGACCTCGATCAATTCCAATGAATTTATTCGTGTAACAGTTTATATAATCCACTGAACAGTTATTATTTACATCTATATCAATCAGTAACACATTTGCAAATTTTGTCATCATGTAACTTTCAAGAATTTTAGTTTTATTTGACGTAAATGAAACAATTATTAATTTCATGTCATGCAAACGACTTGTTGATACATTATACCATAATCTAAAGAGAACTTCTTCGATTACTGATTCATTTTGAGTTGTTATTAACATCCCAGGACATTGATTGGTATTGTTTAATAATTTGTCAGAGATGTACACTTCTGAATTAAAATTATACTCCGCCATTTTGTCGTTGAGCGATATATGATTTTCTGCATCTGTGAGTTGATAAATGCATTTATTATCAAATTTAGTAAACGCAATGTTTAATATGGTGATAAGTGAACTTATCACGCGAGAATTACAATCGTACATATTGAAGAGTTGTCAGAAGACTAAATTTAACAATGAAGATTGACATGTTCAGAGAATTCACATTTAAAGTTGTGCTGTAGTTAAATATTTTACGATGAAATTAACTTGGCATGCTTTAAGTGCCACTTAAAAGTATTTAAAATTCACTAAACTTGAATCAATTATCTTTATTTAGAACTCTTAACATGTTTATCAACTGTTCAATCAAAACCGTGGAAGTTTTATTGGTTTATTTTTGGTTTGCTGTTTGAAATACAACATCTCCTTGATAAAAACAATCAATGACACTGACACACCGATAATCCAGAATGCAAATATTCCTTTTGTGTGTTCTAGAGTTAAATTCACGAATTTATGTGCATCTTTTGCGTCGTCCATAGCTAAATATTTTTCTAATTTAATTCTACCTTTAGTTCCTAAACGTTCCCAATATTGTATGAGTCCGTATGTTTTTAATACGTCTGTAAAGTACCAAAAATCGTTTAAGTGTTGTGAGTGCCGATTCTGCTTGTAGTGTTAGTTTATCAAAAGTTGCATCGTCAACCTTTCGATAATTATTCACCAATGTATCATACATCGGGGAACCTTGGTCTCTGATTTGGCTAATTGGTCCACGGTCTTCGCCATACCATAACATATTAGCTTCGGCTAATTCTTCAACTGTGTCTATTTCATCTCCGTGGCTATAACATTATTGAATAATTTCAAATGTTTTGTTTATTTTAAAGTTACTTACGTTGGTACTATTATCATGGCGTCTAATTTTGAATAGTAATACATTGCGATGAATTGCGCCAGCATTACCAGTATTATTGACCAGATTTTAACGGATTTTATATTTCTATTAGCTTGTTGTAACATTATGCTCACAATCAACACCCATAATGAATATTTAGTGTGTTTTACAGAGTAAAATATTATTAAGAAGACTATGAAGTTTGTGAATAGAAAAAGAAACCAAATACTTTGGTGAAATATGTTGAGGTATTTCAACCAACTATACTGAGACCTAAAATTTTATTGTTTAGTATTTTTTATATAGGTATTTAGTTATATTTAGTTGGTAAAATTACTTTGTGGGAATAAAACATGTGAAACCATGGTTTGTTACCGAAGTAAGTGCTCCAGCCATTTTGTATCGATAGAAATTCAAAAGCAATGAGCTGACTGCAATGTCAGTGATTTCCAATCTTACATAATCGATTAATAAATCTCCGTAGAGTACTATAGAGGGATCAAAATGATATGGCAACAGTGTAATATTCCTAATTTTTGCATATTCAAATAAAACGTTGAGATGCGCTCCTGTTTTTGTTGCTGTGAACAAAAAAAAAATAATAAATTAGACGTAAATATTTTATGATATTTTATACTGACTTAGATTAAAATATACTTGGGCATCGTCACAGGACATTATCCATGTTTTATTTGAATTGCTTTTAATTTTATCCGGAAATAACTGATTTCCATATACAAATGTTTTGTTCATCACATTCCACACATCAATTAGGATTATTTCTCTTGTTATATTTTCATTGTGTTCAATTCCAATGTATTTATTTGTGTAGCAATTTATATAATCCATTGAACAGTTATTATTTACATCAATATCAAGCAGTAACACATTTGCTATTTTTGTCATCATGCTACTTTCAAGGATTTCGGTTTTATTAGACGTAAATGAAACAATTATTAATTTCATGTCATGCATTCGACTATCTGAGACATTATACCATAATCGAAAGAGAACTTCTTCTATTACTGCTTCATTTTGAGTTGTTATTAACATCCCAGGACATTGATTGGTATTGTTTAGTAATTTGTCTGAGATGTACACTTCTGAATTAATGTTATACTCCGCTATTTTGTCGTTGAGCCATATGTGATTTTCTGAGTCTGTGAGTTGATAAATGCAGTTATTGTCAAAATTCGTAAATGCAATGTTTAGTATAGTAATGATTGCATGGATTATTCGAGAGTCACAATTATTCATATTGAACTTACTCATATTGTATGATTAGGTACATTGTGAATGTGGTATTATTTAAAATGTTATTTTTTGTCATGACGAGAATGTTTTCCAGTTACAGTTATGATAGTTATTTTTATTAACAATGCAGTGTCTATGTCAATATGGTTTATGTGAATATTTGTGTAATAGTAGACTGACTACGCTCTAAATGTTATTTGGAATTCACTTTAGTGGTGTGCATTCCAGATCGAGGATCAAAAAGGTTTTTTGTGTTCGTGAAAATTTAGTTGGTGAAAAGTAAAAGCATTTTTACTTTCTGTGAGGAAGTAACATGTGCTAAAGATAAATCATTAACTAAATAATCATAAATCTAAATTTATCTTTTATTTAACGTGCACTACATTGTTAAAAACATATTACTAGCATGTTAGTACGAGTATAATGCTTAGTTACATGCTGTTTGTGTTTCGAGCTCATTTATAGTTAAAGGATAACAAAAGGCAAGTTTTTTATTTCATTGTTTTTATTGAAATGTAAATGGCATGAACTTTTTGTAATATTATATTAATAGTAAGAGGTCATGTTTTTTTAAAAATTACATTAATTTAAACTATAATGGATTGGTTCAGACATGAAAATTAAAGAAAAGAAGGATTTTAGGTCGGATAGTCGAGATAGGCGTATTAATGAACCTAAAACAAGGAGGAACGAAGGAGATCTAGAGAACTGCTCCTCACCCGCTAAAAGTAGTGGGGGTAAAGCAAAGTAAAGTTTGTTGACTTTTACATCAATAGCTATGGAACAACTTGAAGTCTATCCATAGCACTATTCCTTGAGTTAAGTACAACTTCAGATGCAAATACAATTAATGAAATCAACATGCCAATGATCCAAAACACAAAGATTCCTTTTGTGTGTTCAATCGTCAGAATAATATGTCCATTTGTATTTTGTGAACTTGTTTTATCCAGTTCAAACACCTTATCAGATCCTAAATGTTCCCACTGCTGGAGAAGTCCCTGAGCAGCTAATTGTTGCATATATTGCCAGAAATCATTCAAGTGCTGTGAATGTATATGAAGGTATATCGTCGTTTTACCTTCATAGATATCATTCTCAAGAACTCTATATTTTGAAGTTGACGCTTTCGGGAAGCTTCCGTCGAATTTCAGTGTTCCCGAATAAGTAAAACGGCTTACCATGAGCACATTTTTTGCTATCAATGCCATTAAGTCTAAAGCTGTTTCGCTGACAACTCGAACGTTTTGGAACAAGCTTTTATGAAGTTGGGAATCTGGATCTCTCATTACTTCGAGAATTCCAACATCCATGTTGTACCATAATATGTTTGCGTCGATAAGATCTTCAACTGTTCTTATTTCTTGCCCTTTTCTATAAAAATATTAAATGTTATCATTTTTATTTAATTTTTAAGTAGTTATTTTTTAATCTTACACTGGTAGTATGATTTTTGCTTGTAGCTTCGAGTTGTAATACATCCCGGTGAACTGTGCTAGTAGTATTAACAGCATGGACCACATTTTAACTTCATTTATGCCTCTAGTAGACTGTTGCATTAGAATACTTAACATTAATATCCATAAAGAATGTTTGTATTTAACCAGGTAGAACATTATAGTGAATACTAAAAGATTGGTTGCTAGCAAGGCAAACCAAATTTCTTTGTTGAATATGTTCAGGTATTGAAACCAACTGTACTGTGGACTAAAATAGTTTAAATTATTAGTTTTTGTTAAAGAAATTACAGTGCAGCCTTTTTATAACGATGCTCAAGTAATTAAAAAAGTCTAATCTTTTGTGAGCAAAATAAGTGCTAATAATTGCTAGAAATAAAAATATTTTTCGTCGTTACACAGGGGAACTGTTAAATTAAGGAACGCTAAAAGGAGGCTACACTGTAATACACTTTACTTTAACTTACTTTGTGATGCCTACGATGCAAGTTATTGCAACATTTGATAAAGTGGAAAGAACCCCTGACTTGGCATATCGTTTGTAGTTTATAAATAGCGCACTAACAGCAATATCCGTAATTTCCAGTCTGGTGTAATTTACCAATAAATCACCAAATATTGGTACATTTTCACCAAAATCATAAGCTATGACTTTTATTTGTCTCGATTTTGTGTATTCATATAATGCATTCATATGCGATCCTCTATTAGAAGCTAGAAACAACGTAAATTATCATAAATATTGCAGACATTTACATTTTTCCTTACTATAAAATAATTCAGACTCGTCTGAACCCATTATCCAAGTCTTCCCTGAACTGTTTGTTATTTTATCCGGGAATAATTCATTATCATACATGAAAGCATTCCTAGTAAAATTCCAGATATCAATCAGAATAACTTCACTTTTCGTGTTATTTCTATCAATTCCTAAGTATTTATTCGTGTAACAGTTTATATAATCCACTGAACAGTTCACATCCACACCTATATCAATCAGTAACACATTTGCTATTTTTGTAACCATGTAACTTTCAAGAATTTCAGTTTTATTAGACGTGAATGAAACAATTATTAATTTCATGTCATGCATTCGACTTTTTGTTACATTATACCACAACCTAAAGAGAACTTCTTCGATTACTGCTTCATTTTGAGTTGTTATTAACATCCCAGGACATTGATTGGTATTTTCTAATAATTTATCAGAGATATACACTTCTGAATTAATATTATACTCTGCCATTATGTCGTTGAGTGATATATGATTTTCTGTATCTGTGAGTTGATAAATGCATTTATTATCAAAATTAGTAAACGCAATGTTTAGTATTGTGATAAGTGAACTTATCATGCGAGAATTGCAATCGTTCATCATTAAAATTTTGAATTTTGAAAAGTGTTACCACGTTTAATCGCTGAATAACTTACTCTATAACAAAAATATTGTTTTTCTTTTGATATTAATTTATTCTTCCATGAACATGTTTACATCGATAAAAAAATGGTGGTTTGTGCTAATTATATTTATATTTTTATATATCGTACGTGACACAACATGAACCTTTCTAACAGTGTCGAGTATGAAAATGTTGGAACGAATATTATTATTATCATGATATACTCATATCTTTTTACGTGCCGCTATAGAATGTGAACGAATAAATAAATATAATTAAATATGTTCTAATGAATGATTTATAACTCGGACACATCAGGAAAATAGTTTATTGACGTAATACTTTTTACGATGTTATGAGGCATTGTAACGTATCTGGTTTTAATTTTTTTTTGCTGGACAATAACATGCAGTCGAGACTGAACCATCTATAGTAATCAATCTTTTAGTTTGAGTGGAGTGCTGTAAAAATCACTTTCATTGACAGCAATTATGTGATACGATCATAGGAAATTTATAATAATACTAAAAAATACTTCTCTGCACGCGAGCATTTGGAATTAACACATTTTAATGTCAATAATAAACGTGGGCAAACAAATGCGTTGTGTTAAATGCAGCGGAAATTGAAGGTGAAAACATGTTAATGGATTAGTTTAAAGATTTATATAAAATTCTAATATCAAGGCAGTTTTGAATGCCAATGGAGGTCAATTGTACATTGTTTAGAGTAGATGTCTAATTTTATTATTTTGTATCACGCGAAACAAATTTGTATTCAAAACAAAACTATATTGTGTAAATGCAACGTTACTTTCAACTGGTTGCTGATATCGTCGTTGTGCATGGTATGTCCTTTGATTGGGGAAGTCAAGGATTATTGATACTAGTTGTATTCGCGGTATTAGTGTGCGTTATTCTTAGTACCGTTGTGGGTTGATTCTACTTTTGTTTTTGTTTTGTTTCAGTGTTTTGTCTTTGATGCACCGTGCACGAATCATTGGTAAGTCTCCACATTGTTTATTCTTACCGTTAAAATATTTCATTTGAACTTGAATAAATGTAGTAATATAGTGGTACAATTAAATCACTATAACACTTACTGACATTTAAACATGTGTTATAAAGTGGAAAGTACGCTTTACACACCACGTGTGTGTTAACTAAGCCTTGGTGTGTTGACACCCTTGACACACGTTGGTTGGACGTAAACGACGTAAACTCTAGTATATAAAACATAAATATATAAAAATTTACTTTTATTTTTATTAAATTAAAGTGATAACTTATTTAATGATTTATTTCAATTTTACGTTCTATAGTGTTATAAATATATCACGGTAGCACTCAAATAGAAGTAAGTAATATTTTACTGTCCAGCACACACATGTAAGTCTGAAGTATCCTTTAAAAAATGTTGGTGTGAGATGAACTTTAAAAGTTGTACATAAAAAGTATCATACATAAAATTTTACTGTACGAAATCATTTATATTATTATTTACTTCTATTTTACAAGGTGTAGTGCTACAATTAAACATGCTGTGGAAATTGGTCATTATCTCGAAAATCGTTCCGGAACGCGAGTTATATTGATAGTTGTGTGTATACTCGTTGCGCTAGGGTATGTAGTATTTTTGTTATAACACGTGAACGCGGTCTAATTCTAAGTCCGGAATAATTTTGTTAGATGCGGAATTTAAATCTGTATCTCCCTGTATCGAAATTTATTGCTAGAAAATTTTTTTACGCGAGTTATATTGATAGTTGTGTGTATACGCACTTGTACTCGTTGTGCTAGGGTATGTAGTATTCTTGTTATAACATGTGAACGCGGTCTAATTCTAAGTCCGGAATAATTTTATTAGATGCGGAATTTAAATCTGTATCTCCCTGTATTGAAATTTATTGCTTGAAAATTTTTTTACGCGAGTTATATTGATAGTTGTGTGTATACGCACTTGTACTCTCGTTGCGCTGAATTGTAGTTTCTTGTGTTATAACACATGAACGCGTCTAATTCTAAGTCCCGGCCACTACTAGATGCGGAATTTAAATCTGTATCTCCCTGTATTGAAATTTATTGCTAGAAAATTTTTTTACGCGAGTTATATTGATAGTTGTGTGTATACGCACTTGTACTCGTTGCGCTAGGAATGGTAGTTTTTGTGTTATAACACATGAACACGGTCTAATTCTAAGTCCGGAATAATTTTATTAGATGCGGAATTTAAATCTGTATCTCCCTGCATTGAAATTTATTGCTAGAAAATTTTTTCTACGCGAGTTATATTGATAAGTTGTGTGTATACGCAAATTTGTACCCCTGCTTGCGCTGGGATTTTGTAGTTTTTGTGTTATAACACAATGAACACATTTGGTCTAATTCTAAGTCCGAATAATTTTATTAGATGTGAATTTAAATCTGTATCTCCTGTATTGAAATTCTACGTTGTGCAAATTTTTACGTTGAAAGAGTATTGATAGCGTTGTGTGTATATGCACTTGTACTCGTTGCGCTAGGAATGGTGTTTTTGTGTTATAACACATTAAACACGGTCTAAATTTGTCCGGAATAATTTTATTAGATGCGAATTTAAATTGTATCTCCCTGTGGTATTGAAATTTATTGCTAGAAAATTTTTTACGCGAGTTATATTGATATTGTGTGTATACGCACTTTTGTACTCTCGTTTAAAAAATAGGAATGGTAGTTTTGGTAGTTATAACACAGTTTAAAATCACTGGTCTAATTCTAAGTCCGAAATAATAATTTTATTAGATGTGAATTGAAATCTGTATCTCCCTGTGTATTGAAACTTCTACTAAGCAGTAAAATTTTACGCGAGTTTAAGTATTGATAGTTGTGTGTATACGCACTTGTACCTCAAGTTTGTGCTAGGGTATGTAGTATTCCTTTTGTTATAATACGTGAACGTGGTCTAATTCCTAAGTCCGGAATAATTTTATTAGATGTGAAATCTCTAAAATCTGTATCTCCCTGTATTGAAATTCTATTTCTGCTAAAAATTTTTTTACGTTGTTATATTGATATTGTGTGTATACGCACTTCTAAATTTTCTAAGTCAAAAAGCTAGGGTATGTGGTGTATTCCTTTGTTATAATGGCCGTGAACGCGGCCCACCCCTTAAGTCCAAATGTAAATTTCCTGGGCTAGACGTGAATTTAAATCCAAAATTCCCTGTGGCTTTGAAATTCTATTGCTAGAAAATTTTTCTTTTACGCGAGTTATACTTTGATAGTCGTGTATACGCAACTTGTACCTTTTCCGTTGCGCTAGAATGTGGTGTGTTTTTGTGTTATAAATACGAACACGGTTCCAATTTAAGTCCGGAATAATTTATTAGATGCGAAATCTAAATCTGTATCCCCTGTGGTATTGAAACTTACCGTTAGAAAAAATTTTTTACAAAGTGAGTTATATTGATAGTTGTAAAAGGCAACTTCAAATGCTGCGCCAGGAATGGTAGTTTTGTAATATAACACATGAACACGGTCTCACCCTGGGTCCGGGAATAATTTTATTGATGCGAATTTAAATCTGTATCTCCCTTGCATTGAAATTTATTGCCGGTACCTTTGCTGGTTATATATTGATAGGTTGTGCGTAAGGGCCGCACTTGTACTGCCGCGCTTAGAATGGTAGTTTTGTGTTATAACACATGAACACTGGTCTAACTCGCAAAGTCCGGAATAATTTTATTAGATGCGGAATTTAAATCCACCCCTGTATTGGAAATTCCTATTGCTAGAAAATTTTTTACTTTGAGTTATATTGATAGTTGTGTGTATACGCACTTAAATTCCGTTGTGCTAGGTATGTAGTAATTTTGTTATAAATACGTGAACGCGGTCTAATTCCTAAGTCCGAATAATTTTATTAGATGCGGAATTTAAATCTGTATCTCCTGTATTGAAATCTTACGCTGCACTTTTTACGCGAGTTATATTGATGTATTGCGCTACCACCCTTGTACCCCTGTTTAAAGTAAAGTATGTAGTAATTTTGTTATAAATACGTGAACGCGGTCTAATTCCCAAGTCCAAAATAATTTTATTAGATGCGGAATTTAAATCTGTATCTCCCCTGTATTGAAAATTTATTGTTTGAAAATTTTTACGCGAGTTATGCATTGATAGGTTGTGTGTATACGCACCTGAAAATTCGTTGTATTGTAATTGTAGTTTTTGTGTTATGAAACACACATGAACGCGGCCCAATTTCTAAGTCCGGAATAATTCTTATTAGATGTGGAATTTAAATCTGTATCTCCTGCGGTTTGAAATTTATTGTTAGAAAATTTTACGAGTTATATTGATAGTTGTGTGTATACGCAACTTGTACCTCGTTGTGCTAGGGTATGTAGTACTTTGTTATAAATACGTGAACGCGGTCTAATTCCTAAGTCCGGAATAATTCTTGGTTGATGCGAATTTCAAATCTGTATCTCCCTGTATTGAAATTTATTGCTAGAAAATTTTACGCGAGTTATATTGATAGTTGTGCGTGTATACGCACTTGTAAATTCTCGTTGCGCTAGGAATTGTAGTTTCCTTGGTGTTATAACACATGAACGCGGTCTAATTCCTAAGTCCGAATAATTTTATTAGATGCGGAATTTAAAATCTGTATCCCCTGTATTGAAATTCTATTGCTAGAAAATTTTTACGCGAGTTATATTGATAGCGTGTATACGCACTTGTAACACTCGTTGCAGGCTAGGAATTGTAGTTTTGTGTTATAACACATGAAACACGGCCCAATCTTCTAAGTCCGGAATAATAATTTTGCTAGATGCGGCACTTAAAACTCGTATCTCCTGTATTGGAATTCTATTGGTTAGAAAATTTTTTACGCGAGTTATATTGATAGTTGTGTGTATACGCACTTGTAAATTCCGTTGCGCTAGGAATTGTAGTTTCTTTTGCGTTATAACAATATGAACGCGGTCCACCCTAAGTCCAAATAATTTTATTAGATGGAATTTAAATCTGTATCTCCTGTATTGAAATTCTATTGCTAGAAAATTTTTACGCGAGTTATACTGATAAGTTGTGCGTATACGCAATTTGTACCCCTCGTTGCGCTAGGGTATGTAGTATCTTTGTTATAAATACGTGAACGCGGTCTAATTCCCTAAGTCCGGAATAATTTTATTAGATGCGGAATTTAAATCTGTATCCTCCCCCTTGCATTGGAAATTTATTGCTAGAAAAATTTTTTTACGCGAGTTATATTGATAGTTGTGTGTATACGCACTTGTACCTCGTTGCGCTAGGAATTTTAGCGCTTTGTGTTATAAACACATGAACACGGTCTAATTCTAAGTCCGGAATAATAATTTTATTAGATGCGGAATTTAAATCTGTATCTCCCCTGTATCGAAATTTATTGCTAGAAAATTTTTACGCGGTGTTAAGGGTATTGATAGTTGTGTGTATACGCACTTGTACTCGTTG